TAGGGCAAAGTTATGCTTCATCGTCAAGCACCTTAAGTGAACAAATGAGAGTTATCAAAGCACGGGATGTCCCCCTTCAGGATAACACACATGCTCATCATAGATGTGTTTTTGTGAGTTATCTGATCTACACCTATACCTGCCCTGATTGTTTCGGAAATAGCTGTGAACTACTCAGGTAAAGGAATGAATACTGTCACCTGTTATCGCCTCGTATAAATCGTGTGTGCATCTGCTGGGCGTTGGAATGTTCATTTCAACCTGCACTCCCTCCTATTCTTCCATTCTATGTAGAATTGTTGAACAGATTGTACTCTACCGGCGGGTGCTGTACTATTTGGAGTACGTCTTCGATCAAGTGAAAAAATCCTGCAGAGATCGAAGATTAAAGTCCACCGCGACTGCCCGTCGACGTAAGTGTTTGCGCATGGTGTTCGCATCTCATTTCGAACAGGTCACCCTAGATTTCCACCTATGAATCATAGGTCGTTATGTACTGTTATGTCATATTAATTCTTTTTCTAACTGTTATCTCTCCATTGTCGCTCGAAACGTTCGCTATTCTTTGGTGGTCGTTTTCCACATGTTTTGGCAGAACTGTTACAAGGTAACCATACGGAGCTAACCTATGGGCTCACCCATCAGGGTCTTTCTGAGTGCTGTCGCGATGCGTTCGTTCACTATGACCTAATACATGTGGTGACCGGTAGCAAAAATGATCCTCAATATCCAGGGAACCAGTTTTTCCGTTCCGGCTCGGGCATCTCAAGCTTGTGGACTTGAAGTGACGAACCACATTGGGTCCCGATAGGATAGATGTAAGATCGACTTGGACGAGATTGAGGTTACCTATTATCAACTTTGGGAGGCGATAGCGGGATTGGAACCATCCATAAAAGACGTCAATTTAAACCACGAAGTTGGCTTTATGAATGTCGCTGCCACATTCCTCTTTCTCCATTCACATACATATCAAATTTCTTCAAAATCTTAACATTTCACTATCTTGCTAGGTTGGGTTCTCTTCACGTTTTCACCCGGACAGCAATTGAATCTGTAGTTGTTGACTGATGGGTTACCAAAGCACACCAACGAAAAACAGCTGTATGATTCTTGAATTTAAATGGTTGTGCAAATGAAACCTGATAGGATGAGTTTTAACGAAGTACATCGGGCAATGTGAACCGTTCTATACCGATCTGTTTATCAAAAATGATTGTTTCGTGCTCATAATCGTTTCTGATGCAGTCTGCTGGGAACAGCATTTTTAGTCCAATTACTTGCATAGGTTTACAGCAAAGTGGCGTAATCAAAAGTCTTTCTACGGTCCTTTTAACGGGTCGCTTTTCTTGATGAATATTAGCCATTGATTCATAATGTGCCCATAATGACACCTTAGTAGGTGGTAGACCATGTACACCAGTGGCACGCCAAATGCTCCTCCGTTACTTTGGTTAAGAAATCAGATTATTCTGCATCGGATCGAACTGAATGATGGTGTGTCCTAATTAGTAACTTTATCCTTCGTTTGCTAATCTTGAAACCTCCCAACTGTTTTCCTGTCCATTCCAGGTTTGAGAGATTGCAACACGTTGTATCACCGATGCTACATTCGTCTTCGACAGCTGGCTCGTCAATCCCGTCGAGACGACCTGATCGAGCCTGTTGGTCGCCTCCTGGCCAACATAACTGCCAATCGGCTCATATTCCAATATGCTTTGGTTCAAGTAAGTAATTTATCTTGCTTTATGCTTGCAATAGGGACCACAATTTCGTCATAGATGCAGCGGTGTTCTCATATACGTGCTCCATTCTGTACTGTTTGTTAGTCGCCTACCCATTTACTAAACTGGTCGGGTTTCCTATTTTATGACCTGTTTTTCGAGTACACTTATCGTGAAAAAGTACCGAAATTGTATGGATGCGCTTTTAATTCGAGGCAATTTGATCAAGTTACTAAGAAGTAAGGACTTACTACCGATTATTTGTTGCTATATGAAAGCTTGTGTGTTACCCGTGGTGTAGTTAAACTGCCGTAAACCGTTCGTCCTTTATCCTGTGTTATATTTATTTACGTTTCAGTGTCAAGCGGCTGAAATGGACGAGTACGTCGGAGATATTGCTCAGGTATGTTCCACTATCATGCACCGGTGAATCGTTTCATAGTTGACTGCAACTATGGTGACTTGATGAGTGTGTCAAATTTTCGTTTTCGAGAGTCTAGTTGTCCAAACATTTTCAGCCATTATAGTCTGAGTCCAAACTGTGCCAAACAAATCACTGTACAAGAATCTTTCTAAAAAGAAAAAGATTCCATGATTTGCTGGTAGGCGCCATACTATTAGGTTTCCCAGACCAAGAGAGCTGAATTTTTTAGCGTATTCTCAACCATTGTCCTCAGCTAACCAAAGCCTGACTCCCAAGCAGCTGGCTGTGTATGAAAATGGTTGTCCAGTTCATCGAACCATACACCCTTTGGACGGGATCAAGCGTCCACTGTGCCCAATAATCCGCTATACCCAATGAAGCAGGTGAGCATGATCATAATCAGGAAGGTGTGGTTCGTACGCCTCTTAGTTGGTTTGGAATCAAGGCTTTTAATCAACTCCCCCAGGTGAATTGCCGTTGGTTCATCAACCCGGTTGCATCCCCGGATGTTGACTTTTCGTCCTTTCAATATGGTGGGTAAACACCTCTAATGATTGATAAAGCTAATTGTTCCAAACCCACAGTGCACGAAATGATTTTACTACACCCTTTCCGTTTTTCTACTATTTCTACGAACCCGACTTTTTTAATTGTTTATTTCAACATGTAACGTATTACCTAGAACTGGCATATATGCCCCAGCATGTGAACAACAATTCTGTAGTCTGTGTTCATAGGTTGTGCGGGCATGTTACTTCCCGCTTGACCTGATCAAGGAAAGAGGATAACCTCGGGGTCCCCACCCGAAGCCTTTACTTAGAAAACCAAACCTGCAACACAACAGGACGAAGCTTAGTGTCCTCAATCCATTGGGGGCCGTTGTCCAGTCGATTGGACCGTACGCTCTTCGGATGGGGTCCAACGTCCAAGATACCCAATATACCTCGATGCCAATCGAGCCGGTGACCACTGTCACAGCCAGCAAGGTGTGCGTGTGGTTCGTACGCCTCTTCTTGGTTGTTTTGGAATCAGGATATTTAGCCAACTCCCCTAGGTGAATCTCCAATGTTTCACCAACCGGGTTATAGCCCCGGAGGTAGTCTTTTTGTCCTCTCACTTTGTTGGGAAAAAACCGCAACGGGAAGGTAGTGAGTAGGGCTTCTTCAGCAGATCGGGACTAAATGATGTTACGAGTGTATCGAAAAATCGATGCGCCATGCGTTGTTTTATTGTGAATGTTATAGTGTTAATAACAGCGATGTCGGTAGAGAATTATATTCGCCGACGTTTCGGTTACCGTGGGTAACCTTTCTCAAGGCAGGTTTTACAATCAAATGACTCCGCATTTTTTGTATTCTTCCGGTTGTTGTTTCGTCCATCAGTTTTGAAAACTTGCGTTTTTGTCGAGACTGGCATGATTCGAAAGCGTGTGCCCTCCTTTGTTCGATTATCCTTGTAACATCATGGAAAATGGGGGTTGGCAGCAAAAGATTCAATTATTCATTCAGATTCCGAATTATGAAACATAGTGAGTGTATGATTACAGCACAATCGTGAGTGCGGTGTCGAAGGAATGTGCGTGAAGCTCTCAAAGCATCCCTTTGGGAGCGAACAGAAGATTTGGGAATCACAATTTATCGTAGACAACGTTGATTGAATACACGATGATTGATCCAGTTTGCAAGCTTTTTCCCAGAGTAATCCGATTGGTGATGATTTGATTGTAAAACCTGCCTTGCGAAAGGTTACCCACGGTAACCGAAACGTCGGCGAATATAATTCTCTACCGACATCGTTGTTATTAACACTATAACTTTCACAATTCTTTAGCAGAAGCTATTTGAGACGCTTGGCCATATAGGGGCATTTCGCGGGGTGTAAGGGAAGGGTGACCAGTCACAACCCAAGACACCTACCCCGAACAAACTGAGGCTTTCGGAGTGCACGAACTCGTAGACGTAGAATTGCAGAATTAAGTATACACATCACTTCATTGTGATCGAATATCAATTTAAACTGTGTTATTAAAGTCTGTTCTGTCCCAGTCAATGTGTATAACTGGTGCGAAATGGTTTTGATGCAACTCTTCATTATCAATAAATGTGCCCACGAGTTATACACGTCGTGATTGATTTTTTGTGATATGCCATTTAGGAGGCTTCGTGCAGTTATTGCTGTCATATCATGAGTGGTTTATAAACTAAACTTGCGGTCACTGTACTCATTCTATGAATTTGTGCCTTTTATTCTCAAAAATTGGAAAATGTCGCGCGGCCGAAGGCTGCACAAGTTGAAACATTGAAAATGCACCTCCAAAGACTCCGGAACAAATGAAAGTACGGGTGAAAAAATGGCACTCAGGGAAAGTTAGGTAGAACGTTTGGAAGGATTCGCGTTGTAAAGCCTGACATACCGAAAAAATCGTTCAAAAGACGAATCAGTAACTTCCGTTTGTTGCATCCAACCAAATGGCACATACAGTGAAATTGCAGTTATATGTTTACCGTATGCACCAAATTTTATGAGCAGCAATGCATCCGAAAAATGAGTTGATACCAGTGCCCTCGATGACCAGACGTCATATTGTAGGTGAAATCGGTTGGTTAAAGCTTCTTATCGATTGGAAGGCGGTGTGAAATGATGTGCAATGTGATGAAATAATTTCAACTCAGACGACCCCAACGGACTAATGTGCTGCGGACTCCAGGTGCGTAAGAGTAAGGTTTTAAGCATACGGTCGTCTCGAATTGTTGAATGTCATTGACTGACCCGCCCAAAGAAATGTGTTGAACCCCATTCTTTCGGATTCACCGAAGGGGTCAGTATAGGCGAATAGAAGAATCCTCCGTTTCATTTGCGGATTGTAGTCTGGCATCCACACCGAATACCGCAACATCGAAAATCAAACGATCTGAAATGGTATTGTAAATATTTCAGAACTATGGTTTTCAGTTCCGGGCAGAAAAGTTCTATTTGAGTAGCGAGGTTTTTCGATCATTCAGTGTGGGCTAAACATTTCCCGCCATTCAGTCACATTGTCCGGGATATAACCCACTTTGCTGAGTCAGCGTTCAAATCTTCACACGAGCCTAACAAAGCAAGGGAACAAGACACATGTACACTCAGTTCCATAATCTTGCGTCTACGCATTCTTGAGAAATTGTGGAAAAAAGAAGGTTGCTGAAACCTTTTCGTGCACTACCATTTGTAACAAGTCCAGGTAAGTTGCAAGCCTTTCTGGATAGTTCGAGTGCTAATGTAGCCTTGTTCGGCATGCGTTTTGCACCTTCAAAGTGTAAAATGTTACTACAGGACTGGGTTGGTCCAGCACCTATTCTCACCCTGACTGGGGGAGTAATGGAGGAAGTAAACAAATTTTGCTATCTAGGCAGCTATATCTCACCTGGNCCTGGCGGACGCGTCACGGATGAAGTGTCGGTACACATGCAAAAGGCTCGGTTGGCATTTGCCGACTTAAAACATCTGTGGCACCGTCGCGACATTCGGCTGTCTGTGAAGGAACATATTCCGAACATATTCCAAAGTGGTTGGTGAAGTCGATGACGCAACCGACCAATGATGGTCAAGTGATGGCAAGAAATCCAGGGTCATCTGTTGCAAAACATCTCATGGCAACAAGACACACAGTTGACCCCAATTCGTCTTTCAAACCACTATTACGTAATCGAAATGCAAAACTTTTAGCGATTAGTGAAGCACTGCTTATTCGATTACATCACCCAACCCTGTGCGCAGAGAAGTTTTTGATACAAGCTATCCACTTACCGTGGAGCTGACCTTCTACTTCTAAATTTAGTAATCGTTGTATGCTTGTACACGTTTGTTCACCAAAATTGACTAATCCGATGTGCTTTATATGTGTCTATTTGTTTTAATTCAGCGACTGAGAAGATTAAACGAAATGTTAACATCTCGCGACATTTGTCTTCTTTCTGTTTTGATGAAATGGATAAAGGGAACTCAATGCTTCAAATTTCTCAAATGAAGACTCCCTGCCTCTTCCACGCGAGCGCTTGACAGTTTGCTCACATTTTATCTGTGAAGGGTCGAGTATATGCTGAAGAAGTTCGGTTGGTGCTGCCTTATGGTGCAGAGACTTGGCCATTACGGGAATAAGATAAAAATAGATTGATGTTCGAACACCGCTGTCTACGTCGCATGGTGGGGTAACCGGACGAGCAATGCTGAGGTTAGGCGTAGAGTTTTAGGTATTCGCGGTCGTCCACTGGAGAAAGTAGTCGACCTCCATAGATTACGCTGGTTGGGACATGTGCTTCGCATGTCACCAGGGAGATTTCCACGTTGAGCGATTTTTGCCGAAGCAAGCAGCGAATGAAAAAACTCAAGGGCTGTCAAACTGAGAGCTGACAAGAGGGTAGGAAAACCTTAACCCGGAGTCTGGGTCAGATAGGTCCCGTTAGGCTCCCTGGATGGGGACCCCGAGACGATGGTCATCGGTGATTAGAGACGCTGAGCGATAAGACTAAGTGTCGTAGACTCATTATTCATGCAACCCCAGTCACTGTGAATTCTTCGTCTTTCGCGTGAATTTGTTCCCAGTATTCCAATCTTTATTCTGCTCTTTTATCCAAATAGACAGCCAAAGACAGCAACGAAAACCGGTGCACGAACGTTCATGGTCAATGGTTGTGGAAACTGAAAGTGAAACTGATTTGTAACGAGAGCCGCCATCAATTAAGCGTAGTAACTGCTCCAGTGGATCGGGCATCCGTAATTTAAACAGCAGAATATCGAAGTGGTTATGTCTATACTTTTGATAATGATGATTTTTCAGGTCCCAAATCACTGCAGTTCCGGGGTGCCGTATCAAGCATAGACACTCAGCCATTTCTATTTATTGTTTTCTCCTAGTATTTATGCACTGA